CCACACCAGTCTCCCTGCCGACCCAGCCCGGTCCGCCCAGTCCATCCAGCCCGCTGCGCCGCGCCGGTCGGTGGACTCTCGGAACAGGTTCTCTCTGTGGTGAGGAGCACCGCTCCGCCAGGTACCGCGGTGTCGGTCGGTGGCCGGAGGCGGGTCTGAGGCACCCACCTCCTCCACCCGACCGGCGGCACCGGTCAGCCTGCATGCCGGCACGTCCGCAGCACACCGGCCGGCGGTCCCGAGTGGCGGGCACAGGCGAGAGCCACTGCGCATCGGCAGGCTGCCAGCAGCCTCAGGCGACATTGTCCGCCGGCTGGAGTTCGTAAGATGCGGTGGGGAAAGGCCAGCATTGGTCGATGACGGCTGCTGAAGCTCATGACGAACAATGTAATAGTAGCGTTGTTTCTACGAAGCTGAGCGAAATAATGCGACTGCCCAAGCACGCGCGGCGCACCTGACTGCCGGAATCGGTCGTCCGAGCCGTCACCAGCTCGACCCCACCAGCTCGGCGGATCGCGTGCGGTCCCGGTCACGGCAGAGCGGAGCCACGCACGCGCGGTCACCTCCGGACACTGACACAGAAGGCGGAGAGTGCCGGAACAGACCTCTGCCTCCCACACAACCAGCCCAGGCACGACCGCATGGCGCGCGGCACGCAGTCACCGCACCCCACCCACGTCGTCGTAACGGGCTGACGACGGACCGCATGGGGCGACGGAGCACGGGGACATACCAGAGTAACACTCTGACATACCGAGCCACGGCTCCCCGCCGATCTGGGCCAGGGCACGTCCGGACGGCTGGGAACGGCGGCAAATCAGGAAGCCGGGAAGATCAGATAGAATCGGACGGTTCGATGCACAAACAGAGCATTAGGGCCGGGATGGGCGGCCGACACGTAATGCCATTAGCGTGGACCGGGACGGGCCGATATTCACGGGGGAATGTGAGTGAGGTGGGCGACTTCTCTCCCACGGTGGTCGGCGGAGCGTGCTGCTCGGGCGGTGCCGCCCACAGACGGTGACAACTGGCGAGTGAGGTACACCACGGCTGGCGTCCCGTTCTGTCACCGCACTGAGCCGTTCGTCGCACTTCTCGGAGCGGGTAACGGCCGAGAGACATCACCACGAATCACCGGGTCCAGACGTCGGCAGGGTAAAAACCCGAGCTCTCAGCAACTGGAGAGGAGTCATGGCCCGGCGGTAAGTGCAGTCGGGCAAAAAGGCATGTGAAATAGAATACCAAACGCAGAAGCCCACATCCTCCATGCGCCCCATTTCTGCAGGTAATCCCTGACCAATGACCATGAGCTCACTAATAGCATCAGAGCAACGTATCCTGAGAGTGCCAAAACGCCACGATCGGCGCTAGTCCTCCGACTCGGGAACTAATCGCGGCCAGAGTAGCAGCTCGGCGCCCACCAGCCGCCAAGGTCCTCCCCTGCGCCGTCCGCCGCTCTCCTCTCCGCCATTAGTGTCGGCGGCACTTTTTTGTCTCGCGGCCGGCAATTTACTGCCCTTTGTGGCGCGGCTGAGACGCGCGGCGCGGCGCGGCGAGGGGCGCAGCGCCGTGCCCGCCGTCGCCTGTCTTCTGACCGGCCGAGCAGCAGCTAATTAATAGCTCCTGACCCGATGGCGCTGGCGTTCCAGTCGACCGGCACTCGGTTACGACCAGGGCCGGGCGGGCTGACTCAGCCAAAGGCGGCTAACGAAGGAGGCGATACAATGTGGAAGGGGTTCGCAGGGCGGTCCGACCGACCTCCACTCACAGATCTACGATGACGAGAACTCCTTCCGTTGGCAGGTAGGCGTGGCCGAGGCTCCGTCGCTAATAAAGTGACTATTGGAAATTCGACCCCGGCATAACAACGTCCAGACGTCAATTTGCCAAGTATGTGCAGTATGTGATGGCTGTAGGCACAAAAGAAAATACCACGAAAAAATCAACAAAACATGGACCCAGTACACTCTTATGGATTCAAGTATTCAACCCACTGGAGTTCAGCATCAAAACCCGCGTAAAACAAAAGCCGCCTCCCGTTCGAATTCGGCCCGCCCACCGAGCTACCGAACCGCCCTGTTGGCCCCCTCCAACCCTTCACCGTCTGCCGATCGCGCCGCGGGCCCGGCGGCGCGGCCCTGACCGGGCGGCGCCTCTGATCAATATGCATGAGAGCGACCATAGAGCGCAGTCCCGCGCACAGAAACAAAGCGCCCCTCCCGGCCGGCCGCGTCTGCCTCTGTCTCTGTGCCGTCCCTCCGGAGCCGGGGAGAGGGTTGGCAGTCGGACATTCCGAGCCGGAGGGGCGGACCACCGGGTCCCGGCGCGGCGGTCAGGTGCACCTGGGACCCCTGCCGGCCCGCCGCGGACGGCACTGCTATCGACACGCCGATCTCGTGTTCAGGCAGCGGAAAAGTGCCGTGAGAGCGCCCGATTCGGAAACACGGCCACAGATGGGGCGCAGGGCAGCCGCCGCGGGGTGGCCGCGATTGTTTGAAACGGTCCGTTGACTCAAGTGGTAGCGCTCTACTCGATTTCGATAAATCTCAAGTGTGAGAACGGCTACTACCACTGGAGCAATTCGAACAACTTCGATTTTCATGACAAACATCTGTACAGATGAGAGTTAACGGAAAATCATTTGTCTTCGTTCTAGTTCCAACGATTTTTAAAACGGATATTTGGTATTGAATCAATCGAAGGGACTTCAAGACTTCGGAATCTCCGGGTCGAAAACAACTCGGGTGAAAACACACTACCCACCGGCCGTTCTCAAAAGCCACTGTATCGATAGAGACGCAAATGAAGCAGAATGCCATTAGTGAAATCACCCGGCAGGAATCCCGTTCCGCGCACCACCTTTCTCTGGGTCATTTCTCCGCGTCCTCTCGGTGCTGTGGGTCCAGAATGGAGTCATCACGGTCCGTTAGAGCCCCAGTCACCGCCGTGGTCATACCGCCGGTGACAGTGAGAGGTGTGTCTCGGCCCACAATACACCCAGCGCCAGTGGAGCGGACAGAACTGCGGCCAGTGTGACCAGCGGGAGGGAGGGCTATAACGTGCTAATAGCCGGCCAATTCAGCCAGCAGGGACTATGACGCCAAGGCGATCCATTCAGTGGAGCCGACTTATGGAATCGGTAGCTGAGGTAGCGCCGCTTGGCGACCGGACACAAAGCGTCATAGCCAGTCTGGTGCTCGTTCGGCCTCCACCAAAGCATTCCGCGTCAGAAACCGGCCAGCTTAGCTAGGTGACGGGATTATCAAGTAAAGCGGCCAACAGTGGTGGCAGTCCGGATCCAGAGAATCCTGTTGGTCTAAATAGTAGACGCTAAGCAGGCTGAGACACAATTGCCGGACAGGACAGCCAGGTGAAAGAAGCATATGAAACACTGCTGTATATCGCGTCGCCTCCGCTGATGTCAGATGCCCGCTTCGTTGGGTAAGCACAGCGGAGTCACAACGCACATCGTTGCGATTCAGGAAGAATGGATGTAATTGCTCGTAAGCATTCCAGCGAACCAACAGGAATGTGGCTTGTGTATTATCTGGGAGCGAAAAAAGGCACCCAGGTCAAACATAAGCCACGATGGAAGAAAACCGCTAAAGCTCATTTCTCCAGATAAGACTAGCCCAAAACAGCTCAGCTCTGCGCATTAAGCGCCTGCCATTTCACCACAACAATCCCGTGACCCAGTAACCTGACTCGCCACAATGCCGCCGCAAGACAAGTCCGCACGCAAAAAGTCCAATCCACTCCGCGGGGTAAAAACGGCGCACATGCGTGAGCGTCAGCTGAGACACTGTGTCAGCTGAGCGAGTGTGTTGTACGTGCGTGTGCCTGTGTGGGGACGGGGAGGGTGTAGCGGATGCCTAAAAATACCAAAGGATGTACCACCTTGACCCAGAGTTCACCATCCGGTGTTGTAGTAAAGGAGATTATCAGCAGACAAAACCTGCAGAAGAGCGACACCACTCGTATGACTAATTCTAAGACAAGTAAAAATATCGCAGCGCCCGCAAAACACGCACTACTGAAGGCCAAATGAGGAATGTCGTGCCAGCGAAGAGGAAAACCTTTTGTTAAACGACGCTGACAAGCGTGGTACAACACATTCCGCTGAAATTACTCATCAAGTCTACTTCACCAAGTGAAGAACTTGACGATGTTCTAGCTCGGACCATACGTCCAGCAGAGACACTGCAGACGCCTCACAACTCACCGCGGCAGTCTGCTGCAGCGCAACACGCGCATCCATTTCCGCTCTGCAGGCTCCACGACATGTGAGTGATGTCCGTGTGCCGCTGGACGTCTGTACCTCATCTCCAGGTCCGGAAGGACCGTGCGTGCCGCTGCAAGAGTTGTAGCGCGTGCATTCTGCACGATCAGGTCGCAGTGGTGCACGCACCCACACACACGGCAAGCCCTGCACTGCACACGGCTCTATGTGGTCTGTTCACGAAAACGCAGTCGCTGTGTGTGGCTGCTGGCTACGTGCCTTTGCGATGACAGTGCAAGTGTGGATGTGACCTTTGCGTCTCCACACGCAGGTTTTCATGTGAGGAGCAGTGTTACATAGCTGCAGGAGCTGTAGACAAAACACAGTTGCGGTGCCGACCGGCGGCGGCGAAGTCCAGCCAATCACAGAATGATTCCGTGACATGTGTTTGGTGTTGTTACACTTTGCAGGTTCCAGATTCGGAGTTGTTCTGACACGATCGTGGAATGATATTCGAGGACCGTTTGCAGCGAAAACAGCCAGACCAGCAAAGTGAATCAGCCCAAAGACAACAAAAACTCGAAAATTCACTAACGTCAGAACAGTTGTTTTTCAATCAGGAACACCAAAACCGGGATATTACACAAACACTGTCATTGCAAACCAGGAAAGAATGGCAGCACGACATAACGGACCATCCCAGACACATCACACAGCAGTGAGGCACTGCAGTGTTCAGAGGGCCGCGAGAGGGCCGCTCCGGCCAGCAGTACATACTCACCACATGCCGACGGAGGGGTGCAGCTTCACCACACTGGCCGGCAGCAGGGCGGTACGCTTCAGCAGCTGGCGAGTGCCGGCGTCACTGAAACGAGAGCACCGCGCACAGTCAGCAATGTGTGGGGAACACGTCAGCGAGGGTGAGGAGCGCGTCAGTGAGGGGTGCGTAACAACTGAGCAAGGGGTGAGGAACTATCGAGCAAGGAGGGTAGAACCTCTGACACGCTGGTATAGAATATGCTACAGTTCCACATATAGGATTGCAGTTGTATGATACATATGCTCGGCTGATAAATGCACTACACAGGTTGCATAAAAACATCTTGAACGAATGTCTAGCTTGCTGAAGTGTGCTTCTGAAGCCGGACACACATTATGAAACACATGTTTGCGCGCCATTATATGCAGTTCATACACGATGCTTTTATGAACCAAACACGGCCAGAGCCAAAGTTCCGTGCTGACGTCAGCTGATTTCACTGAAAGTGAATAAAACATTCATCGACTTCTGAGCGACGGACGCCCAAAGCTAACACGAAGACAGGAGAAATAACAAATCCTGACACCTAATTATCCGCCACATCACCAATATAATTAACAGGGCCGACGAAAACCCAGAATTTCCACTTTCCAAACAGTGCGAGAGGTCGGAATAACTGGGCGGGGCACTTTCTAGCCAGTGATTATAATCGCGTCGGTCTGGTCGGCGGGAGGAGGGTGATATTTAAGGACCTCGCCGGCAAGTTCTGTCCACCCCGCCCCACCTACGGTCGCCAGGTCACCCATTCCAGCCTCATCGAGCTGGCGTACCCACACTACTTTCTCCCTCCGTCTACAGTGGACAGGATCAGCCGCAGAGGACAAGAGTGAAAGGATGGCCCTCAACCGCCCTCTTTTCGTCCCCTCGAAATGCCGTCGAGACGACGGCGCAGAGAATATCTGAGCAGCTATACCGCTATCTCCTTGGAGGAACAAGCGAGTCAATGGGCGGAGTCTCGCTAGCAGCCCAAGCCCCTATCTTATGTCACTCGGCCGGCACGGTGACCCGGGCCCACGCCCCGTTCGGTGAGATAGATACCGGGGTCGATTACAGTTCTATCGTTACGACACAACACGCCCGACACGAGAGTGACTGGATAACGAGCCAGCTACTGTCTCAGACGGCATTTACGGCCGGGAGAAAGTCGAGTTATCACTGCATTAGGTTCGAGATGGTCACCGCGAGCTGGCAGTGTCCACGTCCAGTCTGCTGGATGAACACATTTTAGCCCGACAGATTTAAGCAAACACTAAACAGCGACCTAGAAGTAATCAATAATGCTCAATAACCGTTTGTCCTTTCGTCGTTCGTTATCTTCGGAACATTTCTCTACCGAAAAACAAGTTAAAAAAGCCTTACATCTTCAGGTGGTCTAAGGCAAGTATGCATCCTGCAAAGACCCAAAACAATTAAACACAAAAAATTCAGGCGCAAATGTCAGTAGCAAGCGGAAAAGTTAGCGCATGAGTCACTTCCATTGCCGACGTTCGTTTCACTCGCAGCCTCCGACCAAATTTAGGGTCTATGCCGTGACTCTCGCACAACAGGTACACACATTCCAGGCCACAAACAATCCATGTCAGCAATTCTCAGTCGGTCCCCATGCCATCACGACCCGACAGCGCTGACAGCCACGACAGCATTGACAGCATTGACAGCTCTCGCCGCCTCACAGAAGGCACTCAAACATCAGATAAACGTCCCGCCACCTGGCTAAGCGAGCACTGCGCGCCCAGAGCAAATAACTTCTCACAGCGTAACGCATACGCCGCCACTCACTTTGCCTATTAAGAGGCATACCGAAAGTTAATGAGCTTCAGAAACTGTGCTGACGTATTCCGTCGGCCTGGCGTCTTTCGGCGGAGAAAAGAGACGGACGTCCACTTAACGAACCGACTGGGACGCAAATAGACAGCCGGCACCGCCGGCTATGCGTCGGAATTAGCATACCAGACACATCACAGCCAAATGGTTACGGAGCGGCGCGAATTATGGTGGCGGCCGCGGGCGGCCCCAGGGGAGCACGGAGTCCGCACGGCGGCAGACCTCAGGTCAAAAACAAACTAGAAACATGCTGCTGGGCTGAGGTGACCTTACATCAAGCTAAAATGTTCATAAAATTAGTACTGAGGTGAATTCAAGCAAATAAAACTGATGTTTATTCGGTATAACATTTGCATAAATTTGCAAAATTTACCCCGAAAACAAACAGTGGCCGTTGGAATATATTATGGGTGGGTTTAGACAACAGAGTTTACAGCCCAGCACTAAAAATGAAGGCACGCGGCTCAACCCCTCTTGCAAGATGCAATGGAGACAGGCCATGCAACAAGCGCTAAGCCTCAGTCGGTCATAAATGCATGCCATCAGTCGCAGCGCTCATCGTGTGTTACCGGGGGATGGGAGACACACCTCGCGATACCTACACACTGTAGGAGTGGGTAGTCACCAAACTGAAGCCACCAAAACATTGCGGCTTTTCAGGCAATGTCAGACAGTGGGGCGTCACGGAAACTTAGGGTCACATTATGCACATAAACAGGAAAACCGCTAATGTATGCGGAAACGGGACGAGGTCACCTCCATTCCCGACTATCGGAAGGTCCTTTGAGTTTATCTCTCCTTTCAAGAGGAATAATGGAGATGCCAAGTGTTAGTCTGATTCAGCATCCAGGTCAATCCATTCTAGGCATGTCAGTCGATCACTATTCATTATTCGATGCGGTATAAGATTACCATTGGACGGTTATAGAGTATGGACAAATAATTTAAGTGAAATATCCCGGTTAGAAAACAAATGAAAAAGTAGATAGGCCACAGGTGTCTCAACCAAAGACGCCACAGAGCAACAATCCTGAGCCGAGCAATCAGGAACCCTATTCCCAGCGTGAAAACGTGTAACCCTGCAACGGGACCGCACCATATGTGCCCAGCGAGCAGCCATCGGGCCATCCCTGCATAATATCGTCCACAGTTCAGTGCATGCTGCCTACATACGATCCCGGTCCCCACACCGCACGGCGCCGCGGACCGCATTCCTTCCCGGTGACGTAGTGCAGAAGGTGACGTCATACACACGGTGACGTCAGACGGCCGGTATCGTGCGGTAGTTGTAGCTAACTGAAGTGGCGCCGCGCTGGTCAGTGCAGAGCTGAGCTGTCAGTGGTGACGTCATACATCACGAGCCGGTGACGTCATCTACTCTATTATGCTGGTAGCATGCAGCGACAAAACGGGCAATAGAGGATGATGTCATATTCCTGAAGAGGCTAGAGGAAGGCTTATGTTTATGACGACGGGCACACTATACGATGAAATAAAAATGCAGGCTCCTCGTCAGGCATGCACTTGACTTCCTCGTGTTTTGCAGGGAAAGCAAGCGTAGAAGCATACACAATCACTTCGAGGAAGCTATAAACACGGCACCGAATGCCATGGCTTCGGACTGGCCAAGGGGCGTGATCGATTCTGCATCCACATAAATCACTGAAGAATATTTATAGACAACCTTTCGATCCACCTACAATCTTAAGCTACATTCTGCAATAGCCAACCAAAGCCACAGGCCAACACAGTTCCAATCCCTACACAGTTCACCTACCACGGCCCAAATTTTCGGACCCCTATGCGTGTGGCCGATACTCTCACCGACCCTCCCACCTCATCCGAGGCTGCATTGTCTGACGTCTCTATTGGCACCTGTCTAACCCGGGCCGTACCCCTCCAGTCAGCGCAGGATAGTTCACCCTCGCGTACCGCCACCCACGACGGCTGGCGCCCTCCTCCACCTCAGTCCGTGGAGCCGCATCATCTGATAATTACAGTCACTGCGCGCCCCCGCGGCCTCTCCGGGCCTAGAGAGGTCCAGAGCCACCGGACGTCGGTACTTGAGGATGCGCGGCCCCGGCGGACCTCCCGGGATGAGCCAGGACCAAAACACGGTAACGTGGGGGTCTGTGGGGAGAAACAGTTGGTCTGGCGACTGTCGGCGGTATTGAAAAACTGGGTCTGGATCTATCTGCAAAACGACAGCCCTGTCTGATAGGTGTCTCCAGGTATCAATTCAGCAGTTTTCCTTTCGTATTTATCAAAGAAACTAAATGCAGCCCCGGGATAGCCTACTGACAGATAAAGCAAGACGATGACAGCATCAGTGTTGTAAAGACTAGTTATTACCCAACGAGAACCTATTCGGACTTGGGGAAGAGCGAGTGAGAGGCGTTGTATACTCACTCGACGTAGTCGCCATGTGCCGCCTGCAGTGCCAGCGCCGCCAGCTTGAAGATGGTGTCTCCGTCGGCCTCAGTCTCCAGGTCTCCCTGTAAGCACAGACGAGTAGGGCGTCAGCGACCGGTTTTCATACCGTGGTGGTCGAAACCACATAGACTCTTCGTGATATCTTCAACTGACCGTTATTTGATCCCCATATATACAAAGTACGGTAAGACGCGACAGCTAATACCAAGTTTGACTCGTGTTAAAATCGTATCGATGGATGATTCATTTCTCTCGAGGCCAGACCTGGCACTGATGGCACAAAGACAGAGACTCGGCGCCGAGACAAAGAACGCGGCCGTTCAGCAGGCATTACCGCTGATCAAAGCTCCGACGCGCATGCCCCACCGTCCAGTGGTCCGCTGATTAGAGTGATGAATAGTCCGTCCCTACCCAGCAATCTAGTCATACTTACGGACACGCGTCGGCAGTATGATAATCAAAAGGAATCACTGGCACACCTATTCACCATAAGTTTCGCTTTTGCACGGTAGCATCAGCATAAAACAACAATTTTCACGGTGAAACGGACAAGCGCGAGACATAATGCGTTTTGCATAAAACAGCCATTTTCACCACAAATCTTACAAGCATAAAATCGACCAGTCATGCGAGGCGTTCGAAAAAGCAGCCATCATCTGCCTCGGTATTCATCTTGACCGCGTTTGTGGGATGCCAGCCATGCGGGCGGGCGGCGGGCGGCGGGCAGCGGGCAGCGGGCAGCGGGCAGCGGGCAGCGGGCAGCGGGCAGCGGGCGGCGGGCGCGGGCGAAGCTTGAGACAGAGGTGAGTGTTCCTGAGCACCGTTATGAACAGCCCGGCAGATAAGGAGAGGAAAACAGCGCCGGTCGCCGGCCGCGCTCCCGCCAGGTGGTCGACCCACGCCGGCCAGCTGACTGGCCGGTCCGAGCACCGACCCGGCAGACCCAATCAGGGCAGACGCGGCTGAACATTACCGTCAGCCGTGGCGACATTAGCGACCCCGGCCAGCCGGCAGGCGGCGGGTCAGCCGCGGAGACCGCTCCACCGCGAAATCAGAACATGTAAACGGCGGCTCCGCGGCGCTGGACAGGCACGCGGCCGGCGGTACACAGCGGCGCGTCCGACGGCGGTGGCGCCGGGTCTGTTTGCTCCCTCCCGGCTGGGAAGTGGCCCCACTAGGGACCGGTCGGCGCCGTCTGCCGGCCGGCCGTCCCACCGGCAGCGCCCACATTCCAGCCAGAAGCCCGCCGGAGCGAGCCAGGCCCGCCTCCTCTCCACCGCGCCGCCCAGAGCTGCCGGCGCAGCCCCGGCCATTGAGCCGGACGATCCAGAGCGTATGTGCCCCGGCCGCCACGGTAGCCACCGGGCGGTTTGTCATGAGTTATGACCTCTCCCGGCGAGCCAACACGGCATCTGGCGCGCCTTTAATCGACGCCCGGCCGGCCGGGAATCGAACGCAGCGGGCCATCCGCCGCCTTTTGTGGCCAAAGCGCATTTCCAGAGGCTCGATAAAATCAAGCATTCATCATCTGGGACTAATTCAAAAACCGCCAGCACCGCGCACTCAATCGCCGAACCGTTCCGTTGCCAGCCATGTAAAGCAGTGTCTCAAGTGCGCCGGTGGAAACTTCGGCCCCCTGCTATAACCAACAAAGAAGCCCTTCAGATAGGGGAGAGACAAGAACCGGCGCGGCGCGGGGTGGCGAGGGGTGGCGTTGCCGCCCGGCCGGCGGGCTGGGAGAGAAGAGCTGATCAGATGGCTGGAAACATTCCGGGCCGGTGCGCTCTGATGTGTCTGGGCGGCGATATTTCACCGCCGGGACCGGGCGATATTCATCGCCGGCAGGACGGGATCGGCGCGGCATACTGATGGTGAGGTCCACCGAGCCAGCGTGGCAGCGGCGGCCGGAGACAGCTCAGAATGGACCGTGGACAGAGCCGTGACATGTGGGCCCGGCGAAGGAGCCTGGCTGGGTTTTGAACAGCAACGGTCAGGAAGATGACAGATTACCACAAGAAACTTGGAGACAGATCACGGGTTTCTATGGGCTGGAGAGGTCACATGACGCTGGCTGGAGACAAGAAATGTAGCTAGATAGTAAAGGCAAAAAAAAAAAAAAACGCAAAAATGCACACAGCAACAACGGACACTACAAGAAGCATTCGGCCATCAATCACAACTTGAACAATACACCCAACCCCATTACCCCAATCTACCACACCAGCCCCGCTCTGACTCCACCCGTTCCAGCACCCCACCCGGCCCATTCAGCAGTCTACGACCACCTCGGGCCAGCAACCTATGAAACCTCCTCCAGCCCGGCACACGGCCAGCACCCTCCGGCCGGACAGCACACCCCATGTGCCGGGCAACAGCCCACCCCGTGCCGGCGGCGAGGCCGGTGTGTCTCCGGTGCGGTCGGTATGCGCGCCCGGGGCGGCGCCGGCGGCTCCCCGCCGCATGTCAGCTCACACCGCTCACCCATTGAGTGGGGCGCCGGGCCGTACACACAGAGCCGGACCGCCGCCTCTGACCTCAATGGTAATGTGCGGCCGAGCGGCAGCCATTACCGGCCGGCCACAACGCAGCCCTTTTGTGCGCGGCGCCCGGCCACTTCTGAAAACATGCCAGATTACCGCTGCCGAAAACACACCCAGTGAGCCCTTCTGAAAACAGGACCGAGACGCCGTGGGAACCGGGAACTGCCGAGATGGAGAAAATGACGCACACTGGCGCATTGTGATATGCAAATGAAACCGATCTAGCATTCAGGATAAAGTGGCATTTACATTATAATCTTAGCTTTGGCAACCTTTGTTCAAACATATCGCTCAAAGAGTGTTTTGAACGATAGGATATTCGATTCTTAAGATATTCTTTACCGGAAGAGGTTTATATGAAGATGATCGATCACAGCACGCCTGTGGCATCATTGTTAGCGACTGCATTCCGTGAACTGTCAATCTTGACAGCACGTCTCCACGAACTGTTTGGCTATGCACCTTGCAGGCTGAATGCCAAATAATAGCAGGGTTGGGCTAAGGCGCAGCCCGCATCAGATGCCCACAGCAGCCTGCTAAATATGGAAATTGCCGACAAATTACTTTAATGCCGCACCTTTGCCGCATGAATTGCACAGTGCACAGTAGGCGCAGGAAACGGCAGATCACTGGGCTCCAAGCGAGCATGTCGGACTGCAACAGGTTTACAGCCGCACATACATGATATAATTCGCGAAATGCAGGCGGTCATCAACTAATTATACTCCAGCCATGATTAACTTACGGTCCGGGCATGATTTAATTATACCGTTGAGCGCCGAGTCACGAGCCAAAGACCGTCACGTCTCTAAAGTTCAACAACCAGACGTCGTGACTCGTTAGCTCCCAATCCAATCAGAGCTTTATCAGCATGATTTGGCTTCGGCCAGTTTCCAATAAGTCCGACCTTTCAAAGCATTGCTCATCAGCTGGCAACGTCACGTTTGGACATCTAAAAATAACCGAACGATAGTGATTGCATGAGAGAGAAGAATGGACGGAGATAGAGAAAGAGAGGGAGACAGAAAGAAAGAGAGAAAGATGAAGAGAGGGAGAGATAGTGAGTGAGTGAGTGAGTGAGTGAGTGAGTGAGTGAGAGAGAGAGAGAGAGAGAGAGAGAGAGAGAGAGAGAGAGAGAGAGAGAGAGAGAGAGAGAGAGAGAGAGAGAGAGAGAGAGAGAGAGAGAGAGAGAGAGAAAGAGAGAGAAAGAGAGAGAGAGAGAGCGAGAGAGAGAGAGAGAGAGAGAGAGAGAGAGAGAGAGAGAGAGAGAGAGAGAGAGAGAGAGAGAGAGAGAGAGAGAGAGAGAGAGAGAGAGAGAGAGAGAGAGATGAGATAACAGGACAGTCTTTAGTTCTGACGCACCAGTTCGTCTGCGCCTAAAGACAAAGGACCCCAGTCCGCGGGGTTTCCGGGAGTACGGTGTCGCCTATCGCCCTGGATAAGGGACGGGCGACGGAGCGGCTAAAGCGCCCAGCGGGGGCCATGTCCGGCCTCACTCACAGGGCGGCAATCCAACCCGATCAGCATCGGCCGCACCCCGTGGGGAGAGCCGCGCCCAGACGTGCGAAAAATCCGCCGGCGACACCTCGCTCCGCACCCCGCGCGGGGCGGCACACTGCCTCCACACCCCGCGCGGGGCGGCACACCGCCTCCACACCCCGTGAGGCAGCGGCGCACCTTCAGACGAAAACACGGCACTGGGCGGCGGACATGGCACGCCGCCGGGCCAAAACACAGGCGCCGGCGCGGCGCGGCGCGGGGATGAGGGTGACGGCTCACCGCGGGCTCCGGGCGGATACAGGAGTATCGGCCCCCACGGCGAACAAAATCGACTGGAATCGAACAATATCCTGCTCACTTACGCCTTCATCGTACGGGCTTCTCAAGACAATGGTAACATAATTTGGTCATGATCAAAACATCGGGATAAATATCAACCACAGTCATAAAAAAGACAAAGTAGCAATAAATGTCTGATCTGAAGGCCCAATGCCAACAAAATTAAGCCGCGTGAGACCGCCGCTCTACTCTGAGTGAGCCATGCTCCCCGTGCAGTGATGTTGCCGGTCCCACCAACGCCAACAGGTGAGGTGAGGTAGGTAGAAGGCCGTACCGCTCCACCAGAGCGGGACACATACTCCGAGGGCGAGCCGGATCCCCGGGCCATCAGCAGTGGGAGGCCTGGCGTGAAATCACACCACGGCACCGCGGGCAGCATACACCACCGGCACGGGGCGCGACCCTGGCGGTCACACAGCGAGATTCCTGTCGGCACTAACTCGTGGGTCGTTTAACGCTAGCGAGTTCCTTTTCGTCGTCAGCGCCATGAGGCGTGTCAGTCGTTTTAGTTACGAACGCACGCAACCCCGCGACATTCTGAAAGCCGAATATTATCAAACCCAGACGAAGCGTCGATCTTGTGGCTGGAAAGCGGGAGACTGCAACGCCAGGTGGAAAGACAACGGAGACTTCAACGCCGTGCGCGCGCCCCGCCACTAACACCAGCGGGAAACAAAACACAT